TTAAGAAGTAAAAATGTGTCAACTATTTCTGATTTTCACACATACCCAACACAAATTTAAATTTTATTTATTGTTCATATTAAATTTTTAACTACACATCCAAACACTAATTTAAATTATAATTTAAACCACACAATTTAAATTTTTTATTCAAATAAAAAAGTTCAAATCGATAAAATTCGAACTAACGAACTAAATAGGGCTTCATTCTCTCCTTTGGAATTCAAACCAAAGTTAGGATGATAAATCAACCCTTTTAGTGTTTTATTTTATTTTTCATCGTTTAGGGTATTATTCAATACGTCTAGGATTTATATGTATTCATTTAAGCAACAATGCTTCAATATTTTTCTATGTCTATGACTAGAAAATTTACTATTTCCTATAATTTAAAATATTACTATATGTGTCCAATCATCCATCAATCAGACAAGTGAAAGAGGGATCAATGAAAAATCAAAGATTACAACCCAACCGCAAATATCATTATCAATTTCAATCAAACTATGGACGGTTCACATTTAGGTAGAAATCTGAGTGGTAATTCATTTTTTTCAATATTATTAAACTCTAATGCCTTACAACATATGGCATATCATTTTATTGCTAATTATGTTAATACATATTAATCGAAAGGACCAAATCTATACTAAATTTTCTTTTTAGGTGGGTAATGGCCTACTAGGATGCCACCCCAGTTTTATTTATTTATTTATCTTTTTTAGTAGGCAGTAGCATTTACTTCTACATGAAAGGGTAATTGATTCAATGAATGTTTAATTTAGTTAATTACACGATCAACATTGTAATTTTTTAGTATTTAGCAAGTAAAACAAAGAGATAAGATTAATATAATTATATGTTTGTTTTTTGTTTATTCATATATCTTTTTGAGATTCTACTTAGCTCTTACATTTCTCATTTTAATTCCATCTTAGCATCTCAATCTAGCTCATAATGTGATCATATGAATTCTTAAAAAACTTATCACAACTCGTCACTCATCATTAGTTTAGAACAATATATTCTCCAAGATCACATCTTCCAAATATTTAATACTTAAATATTAAAAAAAAAAAGAGAAAAAGAAATAGCACATTACAAGAAGCACCAATTATGCCACCAACCAATCTTCACAATATATGCAATTGTAATGCACATGTCACAAGAATGACTTAATAATGCAAGTGATAAGCACTAGCGGCTGCATTGTAATGTCAATGAATAGTGTATTATGAAAGTTGCATAACATAAACATTGTAGTACAAGGGACAACAATGACCACCTATCTATCTCCTCTCTGTCACTATCAATATTGATCACGAACTAATGACTACCCTAGATTTTTTTTTTCTTTTCTTTTTTTCCTTAATTTTTTTTTTCATATTTTTTCCTTTTCTTAATATATATTATAATACCACATTGGCCATGCTTATTCCACCATAAGTTTTTATTTTCCATGATTTGGAATTCAAGACTTCCACTTATCTATAATAGAGGGGCGACTTGACTTTAAGTCATTAGACCCTTCACTTTTGATAGTAGCATTAGGCAACAATGGCATTGATGGTGGTGCTACCAATATATTTGTTTCAATTTTTCTTTTTTCTTTTTTTTAAATGTGATTATTATTTTTAATTATTTTTTTCTTCTTCTTTTTTCCTAGTCTATATTGTAATGAAATCTCTCTCTCTCTCTCTCTCTCTCTCTCTCTCTCTCTCATTCATAATGGGTCGGCAGCAGCCATCTGAAGCAACCCATTTTTGACAAGGGAAAAATGGGCCCTATGAAGCAGCAAAACAGAACTGAATTAATACATTTGGGCCTCTAAAATGGGATCCACAATGAACTGTAATTGTAAATATATGATCTCCATTGATCAAAAGAAAGGACTTTTGCTTAATCAATCTGACTTTTAAGTTCATAATGAATGGAATGTGATTGCACAGGCTAGACATGTCCCCTCCATGTCTTACAATATACGAAACATGGACCCTTCATTGTGCTTTTATTTCGCTCCATGTTGTGTGTGCAAGGTATATTCAAGGTAGTAGCTAAGATATTTCTACATAATATAATAATCAACAATCATTTATTATTATTATTATTATTATTATTCTAATAGGCATGAAATTTCTCAAAAGGTTTACTTTTTTATTTCTTTTTCTTCTCTTTCATTCTCAATCAATTTATGTTGGTCATGTAAAGTTTTGAACAAGCTTGCTCATGTTTTATAAAAAAATTATTTCTCTCCATATTTTCCCTTAACCGCATAGTAGTTAAGACAGAATAATTTAGTTACAAAATAACAAGGAGATTTCTACAGTAGAATTTAGGAAAATAAATTATCAGTAGGTATTTGTTTTTTAACCATTAAATTTATATAAAAAAAAATGTATTTTTTGCATGTATTTTTTCTTCATTTTGATGTGATTTTAATCGAACCGAACAGAATTATCTCATTGCCGTAAGGGACCCAAATAATAAAGGATTCATGCATATGGACATTGTCTTCGAAGTTAGTTACCTTGGACTTCCTAAAAGCCAAATGACTGCATGCAATAATATTTAGAATTCTTTGCTTGTGAAAACATCATTCAACACATGCCCTAAAGTCTTTCTAAATTACATGGTCTTATTTATTTTACTGATTCGAATTTAAAATTTGAGTTTTGTTATAGTAAAAAGTTTTCAGAAACAATCACATCTAAGTTTTTTACTATAGTAAAAACTCTTACATAAAATCACATCTCAATTTAAATTAAAAATTCTAATCAACGAACTAAACAGTCTCTAATATTTTATTTTTTTTACAATGTGTATGCATAGACATATATGTATATGCATGTATTTCACACATCACTTTCACAAACAAATCTTATCCATCTCTTCGAGTACTTTCTGTCACATCACATCCAGTCCCCAAGGTCCATCCCATTGAATAATTCATTTCATAAAGCACAATTTATAATAAGAGAAAAGTCACCTCTCTCTTGTGGCCTTGTATTTTCATTTTCTTTTGCTATCTTCGTGTAATGTCGTCACTCAGTAAAAAAAAAAAAAAAAAAAAAAAAAAAAAGTTTCTGGAGGTTGATTTTAGGGATGTTGTTACACATCCACTGAAAAAAAAAAAAAAAAAGGAGTCACATTCATCGAAAGTGACAAGGAAAGCCAACTAATTATCAAAGACAGAAGAAGCCAAAAAAGATGGTGCCTATATTTGACATGCAACTAAAGTACAAAATATACTTGAGATCCTAAGCACAAGAAACGTGTCACACCCCACAGACAAGTTGGACGTCGTCGCCATGCTTGACCCGCTAAGAAAATGTCCCCCCACCCCCAACAAAAAA